TTTATGTACAAATCGATTCATTGAGATTCTTAAATAATTGTATTTGTATTCTTGATGAGTTAATCTTTCATTTTACGACAAAGTTTGTAATTGATTGTATATAATTTATTAACAAACACGCAATGAATAAAATTTAAAAATATTTATCTTCTATAAATAGCAAAAAAATTTGACAATTACATTTTCCCTTTATGTTCATAGTAGAATTATTTTTTTTTTTGGTATTTATTCTCAACGGAGCGAATTTATAACAAAGGCGCGTATTTCTTCTTAGGAAAAAAATATAAAATATATTTAGGTATATCAAAAAAACTAAACAATATTTTGATAATATTTTGAAAAAGACGAAGGAATATAAAGGTTTCACAAATTTAAATTGAAATGTTCGAATAAGTTTTATATACTTGGAATTAAATTGTAAAGAATGATAATTCACTAACCTTCGATATATTTCCTCAGAGTTTCAATGCCCTTTTTCACGTTCTCCTCAGTTTCCCTGAGTTCTTTTTCGGCTAGAGCCCTGGCTTCGGGCCCGGGTGGATCCAATAACAAAGTGAAAGACATTTTCACAATCTGCTTCTTTTTTGTCTTCCCGTTGCTCCTTTCTCGATCTCGCGCTGTGCTCAAACTGATCACTGAGGAACGTTCCCGGCAGGACAATCATCACTTATCTACAGCCACCACCACCCAAGAAGAGTATCTCTTATGTATCATCCACGGGACAATCTTTGACCGCTCAAAGTCCATGTCGGTATTCCGTATCTTCCGCGCTGTTATTCAAACGAATATCGATTTTGTATCTATTGATTATATAGATACATCCTAGCTAATAAATTTGTGGTCTTTTTGATTTGTGATCAAAGAAAAATTTTAATATCAAAATGAGGACAACGTACAATAACATCACTTTGCCATCTAGAACATTTATCTTTGTTCATTAATTATTCAAATTACTGAAGTATTTATACTGAAGTAATTATACAATTATACAAATTTCTGAAGTAACATCTTATCTTAATCGGCTATTTTGCTTCAATATTTTTTGTAGAATAGAAATTACACGTTATTCAAAAAACTCATTTATTCTCAGCTTGACCGATAAAACTCTTATCAGAGATCACGCAGTCAGTTTTTTGTCGCATCTTATTTAAAGATGACTTGTGAGAAATAATGGATTGATTATTGAAGAAAAAGATAATAGTAATGAGTGATAAAATATTATAAATTTAATTCGTTTACTATATTTACATAATTAGATTAGTTTTTATTCACTTTTTTCTTGAAGAACACATATTTAATTTTCTTTACTACGTAAACGTAAATCTATTAATTTGGCTGCTTTTATTAATGAAGATGATAGTAATAATGAGAGATATTTTTTGCGGAAATTTTTGCGAAATAATTTTTTTGCGACAACTTCATTATGAATACTGAATACTAATAATATTGGGTCTTCTTAATCATCGAAATTGATTTAGAGAAGGAAAAAAAGGGTAATAATCGGCAACAGATCAATAGATTATGAATAGACTTTAATTCGTGCAATTGTTCTTTGAAAACTATTGTTTCTCGACATTTATTATCGCACATCGATGTTAGTCGAAACTGATTTGTTGACGTGAAGAACCAAAGAAAGATAGATTAACTGTGAAGATAAGAAACAGAATATGATAGTCAATAACAGATAATGAATACACTGCGTATTAATTTAAGGGACCCTAATTTAAAGCTCAGAAATAAAGCAAATATTGAAATTTATTTTTCACTCCAACTCCTCTTCAATATATTTTAGAAACGTACATATACATTTTATATATGTATATTTAACAATTAAGTATAAATTTTTTTTAAAAGATTCTATTAAAAGAGTTATACTCCATATGGATAATTCTAAAAAAATTGATTAAATTATTTAATAATGATTTTATCTACACACTTTTTTTATTGAATTTATGAGATGTAATAAGCCTAAAATATTACATAGAAATGTTAGTTTTATCAAAAATAAAAGCAACCAGACAAAGAAATAATGTGATAATAAAACAATGATAATACATATAATAATAATATAATGATAATATTGGAATAATAAAAATAAATGTATTAATTTGATAAACAATAATATGATAAATGATAATAAAAAATAAAAAATTTTAATACATTAAATGAAAATTTTACGATAATATAATGATTGTATTATGATAATATAAGTAAAGTTTTTAATCTAAGATGCGATATGATGATTTTTAATAGTTATGAGTAATCAAAATCAAAATGTTCTTCTTATTTAACGTGCAATAATTCAGTAAAAAAAATCTTAGGAACATTTTTAAAAAAACAATTTTGTAGGTAAAATTTTAAGCTTTCACTTTAGAAAGTTGAAAATTTTTGCAAATTTCTTTTGAGCACGAAACAGGCCCACAAAGTAAGAAAAAAATTTTCCTAGATAGTTTTCTAATATCAAACTTACAGAAATTCATAAGACAAAATGACATTTCAAAAGTGATTTTAGATATTAATTTTTTTTTGTATAAATTTAAATCTCATAATTTTTAACGAAATTACAGCTACTTAAAGTTCACAATACTACAAACTTTTGTTCTATTGTAATTTAATAATTTAGTATTATTATAAGAGAGAAACTAACTTAACTCTGTTCACAACAAAATTGTATAATTATATGTCTTTATCTATTATAATAAACTAATCAATATGGAAATTGTGCAAATAAGTCTTAATAAACATTACTTTCTTGTATTTTTCCTTTTGTATTTTTTTCTTGTTAATTAGTTTCCGAATCATTATAAATATTATTAGTTTTATTTTGAACATATCTAATTGTAAATGATTCTGAAAATATCATATTTTAAAGATATGTTGAAATATCTGTGCATAATATTTCATTTTAAGATGTTTTAAAATAATGCCAGTGTACTTTTATTTATTTTTGATATTAGAGAGTCTTAAGACTCTCGAAATAATTATTTCGTCACTTACGCTTCTTACGCTTAAAATAATGCCTTAAAGATATTGTAAATGAGATATAAGATACTTTATAAAATATAGAATATCTTTGACAGTATTCGTAAATACGATCTTATACATATATTTAAGATAATCTTATTTACAATTCCAGTAAACGAGATTATTGAAATCGATTCAAATTTTCAGAAATACATATTCGCGCAAACGTAAAAATAAATTCTTTTTAATTCAAATGCACTTTTATTCATTTATTAAAATTGCATGCATATACACAAATATATTTCTACGTCTTTCTAAAAATTTAAAAATCAGCTTTTTTGTGCATCGTGAATACTGCTTAATCCAAAACAGTTCTCAATTCTAAACAAGAAATGTAGTTTTTCCAGTTGAATCCAATTAAATCCCATTAAATAAAAAACTTTTTTTTTATTCAATTAGGTAAAAAATTTTATATGAATAAATGTGTATAAACATACATAAATATTCATAAACATCTATAATCATATATGAAATATGTGTTACATACCATACATGTTTATACATCTCTATT